CTGGGCCGCATCTCCTTTTTCGGTGGGGGTTACTGCATCTCCAAGTTTGGCGTGGAAGCCTTCTCCGACAGTCTCCGGTAAGTCCGACTTGGCAGACGCCGCCCCTGATTTTCCGGTTTGCTTTTCCAGGTTTTGACGGGCAGAGCCTCCACCTGTCAAACCCCTTCCTTGTGTGACCGTAAGCGAGCGCAGGGGAGATTGCTTTAGCTGCTGCCAAAGTGTGAGAGGAGGGGCTGCAGGGATGCTTAACACGTGGACCAGAAGTCGGGATACCCTGTGCCACAGCTACGGGAATTGGGTCCCACGGGAGTGGTCTCCGGCCTGGGGGGACCCTCCCCTGCTGCTGGCAGCCTCTGCTCCGCTTTCAGCCCAGATCAGGCAGGGGCAGCCCAGGGTAAGGGAAGGCAAAGGTCTTGGCAGAGCTTTGATTTCATTCCCAGCAGCAGGGAGGCTGTGGCCACGCTGGCTGGCACCGCCTGCCCAGGTACTGAGCCTCTGCCGTCGGACCTTGCCCCCATACCAGATACTGTGGGCAATGGCCCCACGGTGCCGAGGTTTGCTTTAGCCCTGTCCCGTCCAGACTCAGCAGCCGTTTGCTCACACGCTGCCCCGGGGGGCTGATCCCGCTGGGGTGGTCAGGCTCCCCACCGAACCTTCAGCATCCTGCAGGACAGCTGGCACCCCTGCACAGCCCAGACCGGTGGGCAGCAGACGCACTCGGGTGCTGCTCCCGTGTCCCATGGGGCTCAATTCCTTCCAGGGTTGAGATGCGCAGCTTCGGGGTGAAGGTCAGTGTGATCGAGCCAGGCTACTTCAAGACAGCGATCGTCAGCACCGAGAAGCTGGAGAAAAGTTTTCTTTCCATCTGGGAGAAGCTCCCAGAGGAAACCAAAGCAAGTTACGGGGAGAATTACGTGAAGGAGTGTAAGTACATCACCTAAAGATTAAGCGATGCTGTTTCTCTCCTGACACAAGGCACATCCCCGGGTCCACGGGGTGTCCCACCACCCCGCCATCCCTTGTTCGGCTCTAGGGTCTAAGCCCAGCAGCCTGACCGGCACTTTCTGCCTCTGCAGTTTTGGCAGGACTCAGGAAGATGACGAAGAATTGCAAGTCCAACCTGACGCTGGTCACAGACTGCATGGATCATGCGCTGACCAGCCGCTACCCCCGCACCCGCTACGCTGTGGGCTGGGATGCCAAGCTGCTCTGCATCCCCCTCAGCTACCTGCCGTCAGCCCTCGTGGATCTCGTCGTCTCCTGGCACCACCCCAAACCTGCCCAGAAAGCCTAAGGCAGGGATGCGGCGTGGGCAGCCGACAGGCAGCAGCCAGGGCCTGGCAGCGCAGGGTGGGATCCAGCATCACCCCCAGCCAAGGCTGTGCCGATACATTCCTGAATTTCTAACTCAATGTACATCTCACAACCCGCTGCCCTCGGATAGCAGACCGGTTTGATTCTGAATAAAGACGAATCCTCCTCCCTGCCTGGCAGGGCTTGGTTTCAGCCTTGGCTGGGACGGCGGCACCAAAGCCATGTCCCTGCTCCTCCAACAGCACCAGCACCGCTGCCGGCCATGCCGTGCCACACTGCCGGAGCTCCCAGGGTCTCCAGCATCCCCCCAAGCGCCTGCTCCACGCGGGGTCCAGCCCCTGCTGCAGTGTGAGGGCTGCACTTGCCTGAGGAGTTCACACACCTGAATAAAAACCAGACCAGTACAAATCTGGGCAGATTTCCCTCTGGGCGCAGGGCTGGGCAGCCTCTGGTGGAGTCATCCTCCTCCTCCTCCTCAGTTCCCCTCTGACATCCCGAGCAGTGCCTCCTTCTACGCGTGGCTCTGCAGACCCGCAGCACCTGGTCGGTGAAGGCTGCTCCGCTCCAGCAAACCATGCCCGGGCATCGCTGCGGCTGGGGACGCCCCTTTGCCCGGGGCCTGTCCTGGGGCGAGGGGATGGAGCTGCTGTCCCCCACCGGACCAAAGCTGGGCGAGTGCAGCACAGCCGGAGAGAGGGAGAAGTCTGGGGCCGGGTGCTGCTGACCGTGTCTGGAGAGTTTGGCCAAATCTGACTCCGTGGGGCAGCTAGATCCACCCTGCCAGCACAAATAGCCATTAAAGGCCCAAACAGAGCTCCAGGCACGCAGAGCGAGGCGAAGCCGTCAATTCCAGCTGAGAGATGCAAAACTTTCTCCAGGTGCTGCTGCAATCCTGCATCTCCTCCAGCACATCCCAGTGCAGGCCCAGCAGAGCTGCGCAATGCACGCGCTGGGG